ATTATATGAAAAAACTTTGTACTTTTTTCATGTAGCTTTTGTATTAATACAATCATATAAGATAACATTAAATTTTCAAGCTTTCTCACAATTATATTTGTAATAAAGAATAGAAAGTTAAAAAAAAAAATACAAAGTTATTGATAAGTAGTGGACAAAGAATTAAATACCTTGGAGTAGATGCTTTTCAATTCTTTAATCTCCAAAGAATTTTTGCACCTACCTAGAAAAATAAAATTAAAGCAAATGACAAATTCGCCACTTATTGGCATATTAATATGATATAATAATATATATTAATTTACAACTGTTAATGTAATTCTGCTAAGCTATTAGCCACCAAAAGATTAGGTTTTGTTTTAACACTAGCCTTCTGATAATCATCTTGATAAACTTGAAACCCATATTTAAAGTTATCATGAAAAACCCAGGTTGTCAGAGTTAGAAAAAAATACAACAGATAGTTGTAGTTGTTTTTGCTATAAAAGGATGGGTGGCTGGCAGTTAAAATATTTGCACAAAATTTGGCCAATTTCCTTTCATTATAGAATCCAGACACTCCTTATTTTGGACTAGAAAAATGGAGCTGCAACAGGAAAATGGGGTCCTCCCAAGTTTGGCTATTAAAGAAGAAAAAAAAAGAAGGTGACCACAAAAGAGAGGAAAGATGAATAGGTTTGGTTGGGTTTCGTTTTTTTTTTCTTTTTTAATGTCTTAATTATTGTATTGTAGATAGTATAAAAGAGTTGCATGATAACTGAAGCTCATTCGTAAGCGGCCTGTAGTTCCATAACACTTGTACGCTTCCATCGACCCTCTCTTCCTTTCTCTGTCAATAGTTTCTCTCAAATTCTTTTTCTTGAAATTGTACCGGCATGGCTCCTAACAAATGGGATTTCTCTGCTTCTATCTACAACTAAGAAACTACAACTTCACTCTTATGTGAATACTTTTCTTTATTATTATTTTTTTCTTCGAAGGTTTTGGTTATCATCATTGGAATCATGTCCTCTTCTTCTTCTTCCAGTCTCTGATGATCTCTTTCTCTTTGTTTTATCTTTATTTTACCCTTTGCTCCATCAGGGTTTATGGTTTCTTTCTTTTTAATCCAATTCATCTTGGTTTTTTGCGTAGATTTTAGTCCTTTTTGTATTTTCCATGGGTTTATATTCTTGGATTTTTTCGGCTAATGGAAAATCCAAGTTATTGTTTTAGAAAGAGTGAGCTTTGATAAAGGAAAACTCTTTTTCCTTGTTAGTTTTATTATCTCCATCAAGCTTGATTTTGTTTAAGGTTTCCTCTGTCACTGTTGTTACTTGGGATCGTAATAAGGAGATCAACTAGTCACGGTGGAGGTGGAGCGTATTTCCAAAGTGAAGATGTTTGATAGGGTTTTTCCTCCTTTTTTTCTTTTTTTTTTTTATCAAAATTTAGCAAATTTTTTGATGTGTTTTTTATTACATGTTTTATATTGCAGGAAATAATTAAATACTTGAAATATAATTAATTACAAGGGGGGTGCCATTGCTGGAATCACTTTGAGAGGTAATAATGGGCATGCAAAATCTGTATCTTAAAGAACATGATGGGGTTGTACATAATCCCATGGGGCAGTTGGCATCAGTACCATCACTGCCTTGGTGAAGTGCCTTAGGATCTCAATCAGTTTATGCGGAGTCTTGTGGTCAATTGAAGCCTTTGTTGATGGAACATCCGTCTAATGGAGACCATGTCACTTCCGCTAAACATTCTGGAAGGGTAGTGAACAAGAGCTGAATAAAGGAAATCTTTCTCAGTTCACTATATTCCCTGGTAATCTCATCTCATTAAAACTTGGTTCCTCTTTCTCTTCAGTCTTGTAACTTCCTACCTTGCTTTCAAGCCCTATAAAATGCCCCTAAGAAGTCGATTGTTCTGAGTTCTGTCTTTTGCATATAAGGATGCTGTTGGCCCCCTGTCATGGTTGGTTTTGGAGTCAATCCCAAACTCCAGCTCAGACTAGGCCTTTCAGTCTTGTAGCATGCTATATCTTGAGAAGGGCTGTGGGGGAATGGCGTTTGCTCCTTGTCCATGATGGAGCTTGTTGTGGCATTGGTTCCCTCTGTCATGGATTGTTTCAGAGTCAATTCCAAACTCAAGTTCAGACTTGGTCTTTCATTAGTGCTGTGGGGGTTTGGTATTTGCTCCTTGTCGATTGTGGAGCTTGTTGCAGCATTGCTTCCACCTAGGTCAGGCTCCTTGTCACTGTTGTCGGTGGTTGAACCCTTGTTTCCAACAAGGTTTTTGTTCGTAACAGCAGACAAACGAGGTTCAGAGGGGCCGGTTCGTTTCTCCACTTTAATCCTACGCTGCATCAAACCTGTTTCATCTTGCTCCTCATAGATGATCACTCTGTCATTAAAGCGAAGCTTCTTCTTGCGAACAAATGGAATCCATCCGTTGATGAGAACGGGCTTGGGGTGCTTTGGGCGATTAGGGTCATTTCCGGCCTTGCGCTTAGAGCAGCAAAATGTATGATAATGGCCACTCTCATCCTTGACCTCAAAATCGACCTTATCTTCGCCTTGTAATTTTGGGAATCCTCTCGTTTTGAAGTACTTCATTGGAACTACACATCTCTTGTTAATATCTGTCTTGGTAAGTTTCTTAGAAAATATCTCCATTGCTAAAGCAAAAGGAGTTGCTGAGCTAGCCTAAACTAAAAGGCTTATGCTTCAAGTAGAGATGCAGTAAATGCTGCTCTATATAGAGAACAAGATGGTCAGAAAAAGGTGCTATTGTGGAAGAGCGATTGAGAATGGTTTTCTGCTCGATCACGCAGTGCTCAATTTCCAAACCATAGGGATACATATAGAAAGAAAACTTCATCAACACTCAACATTGTGGTAGTGTAGTGACACTCGCTTCTTTCTTTTGTGTCGCGAGGTTCTTGTTTCCACCCGACTCTGGCGTGTTTAACATGTTAAGAAAAGAAAGTGTCAATTCCTTGGGTGGCGTCGGATGCCATTCATTCATTAGCGTAAGCTCTCTTGTTCTCTTCAGAGTTTAGTGAAGCCGATATAAGTCAATAGGTGGGGTAGCTTATTAACAATGGAATTGCTGCTTTTGTTCATAAAAACTTAAAAAGATCTATCGATGCTGTACGACCTTTTTTTTTTGTTCGATCGTGTGGTTTCTGTTCAGCCATCTCTCAGTCCAACCTTCTAGATACCCAGTCGATTAGTAGAGCGATGCATGCTGCATCCACTCTGTTATCGCGTGTTTGGCCTTTCTAACGCTTTTGCAACGTACAGTCAATTGGCAGGACAGAACTGCATAATTTTATCCATCCTGACATTTTTTTTTCAACTTTGAAGAGAATGTACTGCGTAGCAGATTTGATTCCACCCAAAATATTTTGCAGTAACTCTGGTAAAAAAATTTGGATAATCAAAGAGTTGTTTTTGAATTCCAGATGGAAAAGTAAAGCCCAGTACTTTTCCCACAACTGATTTGTTCTTGGTGTGGGCTTCTATCACATTCTCTTTCAAAGTTATGCTGCATTATTTTTGAAACATGGCTGAAGAATAGTGCAATGAATTGTGAACAAATCTGTTCAATTTAAAGAGAAAGATTTTGCCAACTCGGGAATGGCTTACGTATTCTTCTTCTTGGTTTCTTATGAAATTCTTTTGAGCAAATTATTTAGCGAGAGGGATAAATGAAAGTTAAAAAAAAAAAAAAAAAGCAGAGAGAAGTAAAGAAAGAGGAAAATGACCTCCAGGTGAAACCCAAGAGATGCAATGGTGTAGGTGTCGAGGAAGGAGGGCCGGAATGATAGAGAAATGGCTGCAACAGATTAGAGAGAAAGTTTGCAAAATGCAAGAAAAAAGAAGAAAAATATCTGTAAAAAATATTAAAATAATTAACGGAAAAAGCCCAAGGATCTTAACTATCACTTTTAATGTTTCAAACCATAAGCTATATTTTATAAGGTTTATCCAAAAAGGTAATTAGGATAAAATATTTACAGTAAAAAAATTAAGCATGACTTTGGAAAACTATAATTAATGAGACTTACTAACATGGTGTATATGTGTATATATATATATATATATTAAATGTGTATATAAAGTTTTTTTTTCTGTTACATAATTGAGTTCATATATATATATTAATATTACTTGGCTTGTCAAACGTTGGAGTTGCTTGAGTTAATATTAAGCTTTTCTCTCAACGATATTCTTAAATAAAATTTAGCCCCTTTAATTAATTTCTACTTACAAAATATAGCATATATATGAATCTTAAGCCTCATTTGAAAAGCCCTTCAAGCATCAATGTGGCACGGTTAAAATCATTTTTTACCTCAATCACGCTGATAATTCGTTTGGTTCTCCTTTAATGCGGCGTGATAGAATATTTTATTGGTCTGCACCTTCAACTGACTATTGGAGAGGGAACCCTTAAGTGGCTAACTGGCGATGTATTTTCTCCTTTTTTTTTTTTTATTTAATTTCCGACTGCTCTCACATGTTAGTACATTTATTTTTGTTTTTTTTTTTTTTACTTCTTAATTTAAGAAATTATAAAATAATTTTTTTAAAATTTAATATAAAATTGAATTTTGTTATATAATAAATTAATAAATTAATAAAATTTATTCTTATATTAAAAATTAAAAATTTTATTATTTTATAATTTGCAATTTTTATTATATACAAATTTTAATTTAATATTTTTAAAAATAATTTTTTTCTGTAATTCATTTTATTATTATCATTAATTTCCATTTAAATACATAGTTTTATCATTTATTTAAATTTATTACTATAATAATCAATCTCATTTCAATGTCAACAAATTAATTTCATTGCCTATCCAAATATCCAAATCGATCCTTAGTAAACGAGAGAAGAGAAATGGTTTAGCCAGATTTTTCCATCAAATGGCAGTCGTCCCATATCACTGCCAGCGCCACTGCTGCCGCCGCCTCCGAAAAGCCCGAAAGGCACCCCAGCTCACTTAGGGTGGAGCTGCCCACTATCACTCCCAAAAGGGCCAAAACTGCTGCTTCCAACACTCTCATGAGGCAGGCCCATGTCACTTGCACTACCATGAGGTCTGGAACTCAGAGGAGGCAGCCCCGCATCAGATGTGGGGGGGCCTCTTAAATTCCTATACGGTGGCTGCCCCGTTATAGCTGCAACACAAGAGCTGCCACCAAATGAATGTCTAGGCAGCCCCCGGTCATCTGCAGTATTACCAGTAAATGGGTGATAATCTGGTAAGCCTATATCACTCCTCATGCTACTGCTTCTAGCTCCAGATTTGAATTCACTGTTGTTCATCATATCGATGAACCATTGATCCCACAGCAAAGACTCTGCGTGAGTACTCCTCCCATCTCCTTCAAGGCCATCACTGGCACCGCCAATTCGGGCCGTTAGATCATCTGCAGGGCTTGAGGGAGGAAAAGAAAGATCACCAAGAGCGCAGGGGCCGTCTGTTACGAAAGGAACTTGCTGAAAAAATTCAATACGTTTTCGTATCTCCTTCATCTTCTCTTCCACCAACCAAGTCAGCCCATGCAGTTCCGTGAGGTTAAGTTCATCAAGCCCCTTGCCTTGATCGATTTGATTCATGAGATGGCCCATCTCAATCTCTTTGTTTCTCCTTTGGTACTTCGTCAGCTGTTCTTGCGCCTTGGTAACCCTATCTGTGAGGTAGGTTTCTTGGTTCATCATCTTCTTCTGCCGTTCCGACTCGGGCATTTTGTGGAACTCTCCAAGTTGTCGTTGCACCTCGGCGTGAGAGGGCCACACCATTGGCTCGATTTCGTCGGGACTATAGACGATAAGACAAGCATCGACACCGCACAGAGTGGTCAGCTCACTGACTTTCTTCAACAAGCCTAACCTCCTTTTCTTGAGGCTGGCTCTTCTAGCACTGTCATTGACTATCCATGCAAGTTTCACCTTCTTTCTAGTCATGGTTACTGCTTGGCAAATCTCTTTTGCTCTTTGACCTATTTATAATTAAAAAGGGATGAAGAAGAGAATTGGGTTGCTTGAATGGAGAAGCCAATGAGGTCTTTATATATTGAGAGGAGATGAGACAAACTATTTAAGGGGCTGAGTTGGGAAATGGGGTTTTCATGGCTAATTTGGAGATTCAGAGAACATTAATGCATGCATTACACAGGTTAAGAAACCCATTTGTCAATATTCTAAAGATAAATTTGGTAAGAGAATTTAATTTGTTGCTCACTATGGTAAGATAAGTCACTATTACTTAATGCTTCTATTTAAACTTGTGCTAAGCATAAACCCGAGTAAATTTCACCATTATTTACTGAACTTATGTCCAATTCTCTTTTAGATTACTAAACTTTAATTTGTTCCAATTTAGTTATAAAAATTTGAACACTTTAACAGATTTCATACAAATTTTGATAGAAAATTGATATGGCTACCATGTCATCAGCCACATTAACTACCTAAACCCCCATATAATTTCATAAAAAATCATTAAACTTTTACTAAATTTTCAAATAAATCACTGAATTTTAATTTGTCACTACAAGATCACTAAAATTTGTTAAATGTACCAAATTTGGCCACTCTAATAAATTTCATCCAAAATAAAAATTAGATAAAATCTAAATATTGAACTCAATTAAACAACATCCAAATTTTTTATTAAACCGAAAATTCTATCATACTCCAAAAAATCAAACTCAAAAAAAAAAAAAGTAAACTCATAGTAGATAGATCTTTAATGAATTTTTGTTTCTCCTAAAATATTATTACTTTTATTTAAATTAAAAAGAATAAATATGTAAATAAAAGATAGAGTTCTTACAATTTAATTAAATTATTATTTATGAAATAAAAGATAAAAAAAAATCTAGATATTGTTTGGTTTTGTTCAATAGTTAGATTTTATCTAATTTTTATTTTGAATGAAATTTATTAAAGTGACAAAATTTGGCACACCTAATAAACTTTAGTGATTTTATAGTGTCAAATTAAAGTTCTGTGACTTATTTGACAATTGGATGAAAGAATAATGATCTTTCATAAAACTATATGGATTTAGTTAGTTTTTGTGGCAGATTATGTGATTGATAACAAGGCTATCATGTCATTTTTTTGTCAAAATTTGAATGGAATCTAAGTTAACAATTTTAATATATTTAACAAACTTTAATAATATGATTGGAACAAATTAAAATTCAGTAATCCAAATGAAATTTGGGTATAATATCAATGACTAGTAATAAAATTTACTCGCATTAACCTTAAAACATCTATTTTATCATTGGTGGTAAAAAATTACAATGTGTAGAAAGAAGTGCATCTTAATTTTCATTCGAATCAAATGTATTTTAATAATCAAATTTGACTCAAATTATATATACGTTGATTCTTATAATAATAATAAAAATGTATATTGAATATGGATAGATCAAATTTTTAAGATAAAATCATATTGTTCATTATGAATATTATTACGTGTCGTATTTAATGATAATAAAAAATTATCACATGTTAAAGAGAAATAAACATGTTAATCATCATTAAGATGAATTCTAATGATCTAATTTAATCAAAGATCATATTTGTTTACCTATTTCATAACAAATAGTATTGATAAATCAATTACTCTTCTAATAAAATTATTCTATTATTAAGATTCGATTAAGATGTGCTTTAATAATCAATTAATCAAATATATAGACATAAAAATATTTCTAATTTCTGTTTGAAATTAGAATATTAATTACTATCTCCTAATACTAACTGGCAAATAGGATAAAATCCTTGTTTTCTCCTTAATTACTCGGATTTTTTTTTTAAATGCCAAAAACAAATAAATAAAAGGAAAGCTACGTATGGTGTATAACCTAGAAATGATGGTCCTTATGGGCCTGGATTGCTCGCTTGGGTCTCGGAGTATACATTTTAATGAGCTTCCAATTTCCAAGGCCAGTGAGACACTTCCATCTTGTATTGGTCTGAGCCAGCTGATCCATAGGAGGCCCATTTAGCTTAAAAGGTTCTATGTTTTCGTCCTCTGTAGTCTAGACCAACCAGAAACCAAAAATAATAACACATTTATATATACTCGAATTGAAAAAAAAAAAAAATGGTGTAAGTTTTGAGTCACTCACTTTTAATAATTTTGTTATATTCACCCCTTTACATATATTGACACAAATAATTAAGAAACTCACCCCAAACCATTTATATATATTTATATATATTTATATATATGACATCACGTACTATAGCAGGGAAATTATACAAAATATAAAAGTTAAAGTCTTAAAAATAACTCAAAAAGCATAATATTAAATTTGTTATATCAATATTTGAAATAATAATATTATCGTATTTATGAAAAGTGTGAAGCCATGCATGTTCATATGATAAGTTTGGATGAAATGCCTTGATTGATTGAGACTATAATTGACTTCATAAGAATAGTTTATGCCTTAAATCTAAATATCAATTATTAATTCACTCACTTAACATATTAAGCAACTATCCCCCACTTGCTTTATTGGCTCCTCAATAACAAAGAAAGAATCTCCTATATATTCTAATATAGTTAGAGGAGATTCTAACCCTAGATTTTTTATTTTATTTTATTGAAATTAACGATCATCTGCAAACGCTGATCCACTTTGGGTTTCTTAGTGGCAATCCCACTTGATCCACACTAAGTTGCTTTTTTTCAATAAGCCACCATTTTAATTTATTCAAAAAAGTGTAAAAAAGCTATTACTGGTATTTTTAAGTTCAAAAAATAAATTGATTATTTTTTTCATTTAAGATTGTTAGCAGATAATTATGGATATTTTTTATTTTTTGATTGATTTGACATGTATAATGTCATATCAATTCGGCTACATTATTATTTTATTTCATAAACTTTTTATCTTTCAATTATAAATTTAGTCACCCAAATATTATTTATCTAATCTTACTTTCTTCTACTTTTTTTTTTTTTCATTCTCTTTTCGATCTCTTAAAATTAATATCTAATTTGAATATCAAAATATAAATGCAAAAAACACTTTACTTCTGCCCTTAACCACTCTTTTTCTGTTGTAATTTTTAAGTTTTAACCTTCGTATCGAAACTTGACACCAACAAAAGCCTTTACCATTTCTTTACTATCTGCAATAATAGAGCTGAAACATAAAAGAAAAGAAAATGATGGGCGAAGGGCATTCATCAATCTTTTTACCTTCCAATTGCAAATCCTAATTGTTGGTCACAAACTTTTTCCTGATATTTATCTCAATGGTACTTCTTGGGGATGATCTGTTTTCAGATAAATGTCTTAATATTGAACTAATTTTACTTTCAAAGGCTCCAACCCACTTCTGATAAAACAATCAGGCTACCTTTTTGAAGGTGCGCATCTTTTTCTCTCTTGTTTATAAACACATGACGAAGGAAAGAAAAAAAAAATAAAAAAAGGCTTTTGACATATCCAAATGAATCCAATGGTGGCGTTTCTAATTATTATATTGTAATAAAAAAGTGCAAAAAGCTGAGTCTATCCGATGTGGAATGCAAAATCAAACGTGCACTTCGCGAGAGGTTTCCACTTGGATAGATCTCGTGCGTGCCAACGGGGCCTAAACGTCACGCCCCGCAAGAGTAAAAGGCAAAGGGTGCGGGGAGACTATTTTTTTTTACTCTATTCAACATGGGTGGTTTGCTCGAAAAAAGGGCGAACAACAAGGAAAAAAATTATCAACATGAGCTTGAAGAGTGGGCGGCTTGTTTGGACCACCTGAATTTGCTGGAAAGAAAAGAGGCAATGCTGAGAGTCCCCCACTAATAACAGCTATTTAATTTAATTTCTTAAACACTTTTCCATGATGGAGAAGAGAAAAAGTGTATTTGGATTTTATATCATTGGAAAATCCATTTTCTCTATAATTACTAGTTTACAAATACTGATGCATTTCAACTTAATTGTGTTGCTTTATACTATAGCAACTTTTTTTTTTTTTTTGTGTAAGAAAGTTTTAAATGTAAAATTTAATTAATCATGGAATTCATCCATTCCAAAAACAAATTTGTATAAGACTATTTATAAAAGATTGATTTTTGATACACTTATTATGAAAATTTTTAATTTCATAAATAAAATTAAAAATTATCACATATCTAATCTTTTGATTATTTTTTAAATTATTTTATATTTTAAAAATATATGTTATCTTTTTAATTTTGATAATAAAATTTAAAAAAATTGCACGGAATGTAAAATTATTTTTATTCGTAAATCTACTGATTATATATCCAAACTTAATTTTCCTAAATTATTATTAATCATTACCAATTAAGTTGGGTGTGCAAAATTTTCCTTGTAAAGTAAATATAGGTCAACAAACTTTAACCGATATTTTTCTACACAGAAGATAATGTGCCAATATTTTGGGGGAAAGGATCCGAGTGAAAACTACAAAAGTGAGAACCCTCGTTAGGACTCCTGGGCTTCCAGGCTGGAATCCACGGCTCAACAAGTCAAGGGAGATTGTCTCGTCATTCAGATCACTGTTTTAATCAAGTCTAGACCTAACTAAATGGGACATTAGTAAACGTGAAGATAACGAATAATAATGCTAATAAAAAAAAACATTTTATATGGTGTGGACGCAATCATGACATGTGATGGCATTTTTGAAGAAGAAGCAGAAGCACGAATCGCCTCATGACCTTCTCCCATCTTTTGTCAATATGTGTCAAACTGCTCTATGGACCATTATTAGGGCTAGACACTCTTTCTTTTTTTTTTGGAAGAATATATATATATATATTTCCTGTAACACAAACAATTTAGGCAATAAATAGTACCTAATTATCAAGTTAAATATTAATTTTTTATTTACGAAATTTTAAATTGACAAGATCGATTAAAAAATTTTTGGAATTCTGACCACCAAAGTTTAATATATATACATCTTATTATCATAAGATAATGTAATTTACAAATGGTAGCAGCCACAATATTGACTCGTGGTTAGAAAAATTCACAAAAAAAAAAAAAAAAAAACTGGTTTATCAGAGAATCTTTAGCCAAATCCTAATTCAAGCCAAAGAGTGAAAATAGTTGGAAAATGGTTTGTCAAGAATCGTATATGACTTATAAAGCATAGTGATAAAAGTCAACTTACATAAATAACATATTAATGCTTGTGGTCCTTCTTCTTTTCTCTTTGGGTAATGATTAATGTTTTTTTTAGGTAAGATAAGAAGGAATCGTGAAGGGCAGGAAACGTCTATGCCAAATACAGTTAAAAAGAAATTCAGCCACATTCTAACCATTTTATTCTTTATTGTAACTGATGTTTGTAGCATAGAGAGCAAAGTTGAAATTCTTGAAGGCATCCATTTGAAAAAGAAAAATATTCATTGATTATCACGATTAGGTTTTGGGGACAATTATTATTAGCTGACACGATTTAATATTGTATGAAAAAAATTTGTAATTTTTTCATGTAGTATTTGTATTAATCCAATCATGTAAGATAACATTAAATTTTCAAGCTTCCTCACAATTATATTTGTAATAAAGAAGAGAAATTAAGAACAAAAAAAAAGTTATTGACAAGTAGTGGACAAAGAATAAAATACTTTGGAGTAGATGCTTTTCAATTCTTTAATCTCCAAAGAATTTATTTACCTACCTAGAAAAATAAAATTAAAGCAAATGACAAATTCGCCACTCATTGGCATATTAATATGATATAATAATATATATTAATTTAAAAATGTTAATGTAATACAGCTAAGCTATTAGCCACCAAAAGATTAGGTTTTGTTTTAACACTAGCCTTCTGATAATCATCTTGATAAACTTGAAACCCATATTTAAAGTTATCATGAAAAACCCCGGGTTGTCAGAGTTAAAAAAAAAAAAAAACCAAATTGGTTTTGCCATAAAAGGATGGGTGGCTAGCAGTTAAAAAATTTGCACAAAATTTGGCCAATTTCCTTTCATTATAGAATCCAGACGCTCCTTATTTTGGACTAGAAAAATGGAGCTGCAACGGGAAAATGGGGTCCTCCAAAGTTTGGTTATTAAAGAAGGAAATAAAAAAGGAAGAGAGAGAACAAAAAGAAGGTGACCACAGAAGAGAGGACAGATGAATAGGTTTGGTTTTTTTTGTTTTTATTTAATGTTTTAATTATTGTATCGTAGCTAGTATAAAAGAGTTGCATGATAACTGAAGCTCATTGGTAAGTGGCCTGTAGTTCCATAACACTTGTACGCTGCCATCGACCCTCTCTTTCTTTCTCTGTTAATGGTTTCTCTCAGATTCTTTTTCTTGAAATTGTACCGACATGGCTCCTAACAAATGGGATTTCTCTGCTTCTATCTACAGCTAAGAAACTAGAACTTCACTCTTATGTGAGTACTTTTCTTTATTCTTTTTTTTTTTTCCTTTGAAGTTTTTGGTTATCATCATTGGAATCTCCTCCTCTTTTTCTTCTTCTTCTTTTTCCATTCTTTGATGATCTCTTTCTCTTTGTTTTATCTTTTTTAACCCTTTGCTCCATCAGGGTTTTTGGTTTCCTTCCTTTTAACCCAATTCATCTTAGTTTTTAGCGTAGGGTTTTGGTCCTTCTTGTATTTTCCATGGGTTTATATTCTTGGATTTTTTCGGCTAATGGAAAATCCAAGTTATTGTTTTAGAAAGAGTGAGCTTTGATAAAGGAAATAGTTTTATTTTCTCCATCAGGCTTGATTCTGTTTAAGGTTTCTCTGTTACTGTTGTTACTTGGAATCGTAATAAGGAGATCAACTAGTCACGTTGGAGGTGGAGCCTATTTCCTTAGTGAAGATGTTTGATAGGGTTTTTCCTCCTTTTTTTTAATAAAAATTTAGCAAACTTTGTGATGTGTGTTTGATTTCATGTTTTATATTGCAGGAAATAATTAAATACTTGAAATATAATTAATTACAAGGGGGGTGCCATTGCTGAAATCACTTTGAGAGGTAAGAATGGGCATGCAAACTCTGTATCTTAAAGAACATGATGGGATTGTACATAATCCCATGGGCCAGTTGGCGTCAGTACCATCACTGCCTTGGTGGAGTGCCTTAGGATCTCAGTCAGTTTATGGGGAGTCTTGTGGCCAATTGAAGCCTTTGTTGATGGAACATCCGTCTAATGGAGACCATGTCACTTCCGCTAAGCAATCTGGGAGGGGTACTGAACAAGAGCTGAATAAAGGAAATCTTTCTCAGTTCACTATATTCCCTGGTAAACTAATCTAACTTAAAATCCAGTACTTTCTAAATTTGCTATAGCCAAAGATTTATATAAATGCCTGTACTTTGGTTACATAGAACTTCATTTTGGAAAGGTCTTCATTTCTATTTTTCTTCTCTTCTCTTGGAAGTCGGTCTTGAGCTTTTGCTTAAACAAGGAAAGGGGTGAAGAATTAGGTTCCTGGAGAGTTCTTAGATTGGAAGATTGTCTAGAAAGTGCATTATGAAGATCAATTATATCCAGCTTTTCATCACAATTTGGTTAGATATAATAAGATTGCGGCTGGCTGAGTAAATTTATGGATTCCAAATTTATTGAGGATATAAATTTATCGTTTGGGCTTATTTAGTACGAGAAAGAGTAATTTTCAAGAGTGATGTTAATGCAAGTTTCAATCAAGGCAAGAGAGCTTCTAGTAGCAAGGTTGGATCCCCCTCCCCTGCCATATTTAGTCTATGCAAATCTTTAAGAAAGGGAATATCTTTGGAAATAGATTTACAATTCTTTACTTTTTTGAACGTGTGAATGCTTCTTTTTTAATATTAGATAAAATAGTTAGAAGTTGCACCGATGCTTTAGATATTGGAAACTTCAAGGAGAAGGCAACTTAAAGCATCTTTAAGTGAGTTTATATATTTAACTTCTTCAATTTTGAAAAGTTTTTCAATGATTTTGTTTGTTAAATAATCTTCATGAGTCAGGTAATGCTGATCTGACATTAAAATCTAGGGTGCTATCTGAATTGAAAAATGTAAGGTCAATAAAGGAACTTTGTTCTATCTAAGAGGAATTTCTACTATTATTCTTAAATTCCATTTTTTGCATGAATGAGGTGCAAAGAAGAAAGGCTCCCAGGTTATGTTAAGATCCTTGATTCATCAAATAGTGTAAGTTATAAAACAGAAAATGGCTAAAGGCAAGATAAGAATTGGGGTAAAGAAGAATAAGAGAAGTTGTTGATGAAATGCTAGGATTATGAATAAAATAAAAAGTACCAAGGTTGGGATGCCTGCAATTTGAGATGACGCATTAGAATTCCCAGCCGCTTGTGGAAACTAACTATTTCTCCAAAAGAAAATTGTCAGGTTTGTTAGCATCGAAGTGAAAAGTAATTAGAACTTCAGGCTCTTGACAATGATTAGCTTTTGCTAAAGATATTCTTTGAATTTGATCATTATGTAGCATATTTGGGGAATGCAGCCTGTAAAAGTTTTTGTGCATAATGATGCACGTATCTTAATTAAAAAAAAAAAAAAAAGCAGAAGGTTTCAGTTGTATCTTGCAGTTGTTTATCCCTGTACCAGGAACAAGCCTGTACTTGCTCAAAGAATAGAACACTTTTAGCTGAAGGTTAAAACTATTGCTTGCTGCATGGATGTTATTACACTTGAATATTTGAGTTTCTGTACCTCCCAATGATTTAGAATTCAATGAAGAACAAGATGATTATATAGTAATAGTGGTTCTTTCTAACCTGCTAGCCAGGATTGATGTTGGCTCGAGTTCTCTCCGCATTTGCCCTTATCTAATGGAGTCCATTGAAGAGTTAAATATTTTCCCCTTTTATGTCGACTCTTTATGCAACTTGCTCAAGGCTTTTTTCATCCAATCAGCCTTTATGATGATCTACAAATTTTATGATTTGCTTAACACTGTAACTTATGTCGGTTCATTTGTATGTAGAGAAGAGCAAAGCAACTACTGATACCTAGTTGAAACATGCAGATAATTTGGTCTTTACACAGATTGTTAATGTACTAACTATTACTAACCGGTCAACTAGTTTCCTATTCAGGTGATTGCAAAAATACTGGGAACGGACAAAAAACTCAGGCAGTCATCTCTCTACAATCAGCTCAATCAGAACATCGTGCCCGCTTTGAGCTAGGATTTGGTCAGCCCATGGTAGTATTTCTCATAAACTTTCTTCCATAGACTTATTCACTTCACTTTGCGACCTTAGTTAATAATTTTTTTGCTCCTTGCAAACTCCAACTGTAGGTCTGTTCAAAATATCCTTACATGGATCAGTGCTATGGAGTTTTCTCAACTTATGGATCTCAAATTGCGGTTTGTCTTCCATTATCTCGGAATAACAAATTCTCTGGATTTATGTTGTATATCATCATGATTAATATGCTAAAGATTTTTGTTCTCAATATATGGTACTTGATCTATTTGGCTCTTGCTGAACTATCTAAATTGGTATATGACATGTAGAGACTGTTTTAAGAAGTATGACCACAAAATTTTTGTAATTTGCGACAAGGGGCTCAAAGTAAATTATAATTAAATCTTACTGTAATTTTGGCATTCAGCTGCTTTTTCTTTGAACTAGAATTTTACAATCTCATTATTGAATTGACTTTTACAAGGCCTGCCAAGAATGTGAAAACGTTACCTTTCATTCATTTTTTGCTTCTAACTATGTATTTTTGTTTTAATCATGGTGCAATAATTATCAAATCAGAAGAGCTCCAAATCATCTATCAGTTCGGTGTTTGGTGGATCTAACTGGAATATATATGTAAGCCAATGGGGGCCTTGTCGAAATATGAGTTTTGCAAAAAAGTGTTGAGGTGTGCCGAGAATAACAAGTTTTAATCTGTGACGAAATATGTACATTCATATAGAGAAACAAATTAGCTTTGACTCACTCATACTACAAAGGAGAGAAGCTTGAGATACCTGAATCGCATAATTGCTTAAGTGAAAATTTAGAAACAACAATATGAGAAATACAGGCTTTCTTGTTGGATCTTCCATATTCTCCCTCGTGACTGAGTTTCACGGTGGGATGTTCTTTATCTAAATAATATTCGAAAATGCTATCTTGTCTGCTGCTTGGAATGCATTGTTTTGTCCTTTCTCCTTCATGTAGCACCTTAACCAATTCTTGTAATCCATATGAAATAGGGTCGTGTTATGCTGCCATTGAGCTTGACAACGGAGGACGGACCTATATATGTAAATGCCAAGCAGTACAATGGAATCATTAGGCGTCGACGATCCCGTGCAAAGGTTGTACTTGAGAATAAAGTGACTAAAGCTCGGAAGGTATGATCTCTTCTTTTGGTTTTTGAATTTATTGTTTCATTTAGTTGGGAAAATTTAGGTTCTGCTTTTGTTCCGCAGCCATATATGCACTACTCACGCCATCTGCACGCGATGCGCCGGCCAAGGGGATGTGGTGGCCGTTTCTTGAATACAAAATGTTTAAAAAGTGGCACGGATGGAATGGAGATGAAGAAAGCTGCTGAAGGAAAACTTTCTCACCTTAGAGGTTCACAAAATTCTGAAGTCCTGCAATCTGACAGTGGAACCTTGAACTCATCCAAGAAAGCAAGTGGAGGAGGCTCAACTCTTTCAGGATCAGAGGTGACCAGCATGTATTCCAGGGGAGATCTTGAGCAGTTCCGATTCAATCATCTTGGACTGTCTGTCCACTCTTTCCCATCGATGATGGACAATGGGCGTGGTACTGTTATTTCCAGCAAGTGGATTGCAACAGCAGATAACTGTTGCAACCTGAAAGTTTGATAGCAAAGGATTAGTGGGATTGGTGCTAAGTTGTTGCACCTACCCACTTTCCCTGCAGCAACCAAATGAACTTCGCTGCATCAGCTGTTATAGGTTTTGCAACAGGTTTTGGTTGCTAGGCAAATCATTCTTGGCTCATCTCAATTAAGCTCTTCTTTACCATTCCGTGCAACAATGCTGTCTTGGCGTGGTGGAAGATGCTCAAACCTTAATATAAGAAATGGATTGGACTATAAATGGGGTGCTTCCACTGATCCAATATAAACTTGAAAGTTCGGTTAAGTGCTTGTAATCCTAGTTATATAGAATTGTGGTGTTCCTAAATCGTGTTGTCTACATGTCTGTTATGCTTGCTTGTAAAATAATGTACTGTAGAATATTATGCTTGTGTTTTTTTTCTTTTTTTTCTCCCTGTTTTATCCTATTCTTGATCTGCTGTGTAGATACATCTCTGATAGGAGTACACAAATATTTTTCTATTTTAGAGATCTGTGGAAGCACGTTTTAGATGGGGCCTTTAAAAGTGCCATTATATGGTTGAAGAAACGTGTAGGAAGTTTGCAGCTTAGGGAAAAGAAAATATAATCTCATAAATTTTCTTCTGATATAAACAATTATGAGAAAAAGGGTGGTAGCCTGGTCATATGCTTTGTTTAGATATCCAAATTGTTTTTATAACCAGTAGCCATGCCCATGAACCAGAATCAAGGAAACAAAGAGACCAAGGCAACATGAGAAGTACTCGAAACGAAAGCTTTGCCATCCTCCTCTTACTGCTATTAGCCTGTCAAGATTCTGTCTGGGGAAAATTTCATGTTGGGATCATGAATCAGCTGGGAAATCATAGGATTCTAAACATAAATTATCAGTTTGTTATGATTACGACAGATCTAATATCACTTGTAGGGATCATGATAATTTTGATATCACTTGATATGAATCATGATAATTTTGATATTATTTGTTAGGCAAAAAACCCCAAACAATTAAATATTTTAACTAGCGAAAGCAAAATCAATCATGGAAATAAAATCAATCAATCAATCACGTAAAAATTAACAATTTAATATATTTCATATTAATCGATTTACGTTCACGAATGAAAAAAAATTCACTAGTTGTAAAGAATTATAAACATACATCAAATTAATCTCCTCACTATTAATACCCATAGACTTTCTCAATATACTTAGTCATATGGAGTATTTTCAATTCAAACAAACACTACATATGTGCACTCATATATCATACTTATGTGGATCTTTTTAATTTCTTTTAATCCATTTATAAAGATTCAAATATACACACCTATAAGACGTAAATCTCTAGTAGTCTTATTCAAACATACAGACATATAAGATTAAAATCTCTAGTAGTCTTATAGAATGTCTATCCTATAAAATCATACTAACTTTCGAACTAACTTTTTTATATATTTTTATCATATTTAATTTTATAAAAATTTTATCTATTTATAAGTATACAAATTTATCTATAAAAAATTTCTTTCCTCATATAATTCTTCTTTTACAAACATTTTTATTCATCAAATAATATTTAATAAATTTCAAACAAATCTCTTATATGAGTTAATTCCTTATTTATAACATAGTCGTGGGACGATGATCTTGGCTATGCTAGATGGCTGTGAATTCAAGTGGAAATTTTCCTGGTCATACCATGACATTTTCCTTATATAAGATAGTATATGTAATCGTATGATTATTATTGATATTCGAAAATCCCTTAAATTTAATTGTTAACAGTTAAAATAACGAATAACAAACATTGAATTTGAAATTTAATCTAAATAATTCACTCACATTTTTAAAAAGTAATTTTTAGTAAAATTAAAATTTGATTCTCAACATTTATACATTTAAAAAAAAATTCTTAGACTTTAATCTCTTATAAAAAAAATTTAAGAACACGTTATATCTTTTTATAATTGTGAGATGAATACGAATCCAACTTTTTGAATAAGAGAAGCAAACACGGCAACACATATTACATTTAAGACGAGAAGATTACTCTTAACAACATACTTTTGCGAAAGAAACAAATCAATTCATAAAAGAGTAAGATGAAGATGAAATTGTAAAGGAAAAAGAAAAAAAAAATTATCAATGTCTGTTGATTCAAATAATAAAAAATTTGATTTCTTTTAAATAAATTTTAATTTTAAATTTTATGAATAAAAAAAATAAACTTTAAAAAATTTATTTTACTTATAAAATTTAATTCAATCATTTTAATCCTTATAAAATTTAATCCAATCATTTTAATCAAAATTTAAAATAACTATCGAACACAAAAAATCTCCGAAAAAAAAAATTTACGGACATCCTTTATTAGTTTTAATTCAAGTAGTAAGTGCGGCCCAACTAGAATGAAACCCAAAGTCGACAATCCAGACCCCAGACCAACATGCAACTCAAGTGAGGGAAAAAAAAATCTTGTTAGAACCGTATCCATATTTTAGCTACTGCCCCTTTGAATTCTTTACCCTGAAAATATTCCGTATCTTGTCATTTGTTCCTGCCGTAATATCCATTCTGCATAGTTTTTTTTTGCTTTGCAGAAAATGTCAGCTCCAACTCTCTCCATGGCAACTACAACAGCAGCTGTCTCTTCTTCAATCTACAACAACAACAAACTCTCCACTCTTTCTTCTTCAGCACTTCAATCTCTTCCTTCAAAACCTACTTCTAAGCAATTAAAACCTTTCAACCTCGAAACCCAAAGCATCAATACCCTTCCTTTCTCTCTTCACCAATCTGTCCCACGTTTATCCTGCTTGTCGGCTTCTTTTGACAGCTTCCAAGTTACTGAAGATGACCAAAGTCTTGGAGAAGAATACCCACACAGTCAATACCTTGAAGAACAACCACAACAAGAGGACGCTGAAGAATAGAAAGTTTCAGAGTCTGGCGGTGAAGAAGGAAGATTGTTTGTTGGGAATTTGCCTTATGCAATGACTTCTTCCGAGTTGTCTGAGATTTTCAGTGGGGCTGGTCGTGTTGCTAATGTGGAGGTTTGTGTTTTTTTTTTTTGTCTTTCTTCATGTTCCCCATTTGATTTTGGTTATCTTATTTTTTATTTTTTGGTTACTTTTGGTAACGGCCTTTTCTTGTTGAATTGTGTTTGATAGATTGTTTATGATCGATTTATGGATAAGAGCAGGGGATTTGGCTTTGTTACAGTGGGGAGCGTTGATGAAGCCAAAGAAGCAATCAGGCTGTTTGATGGATCTGTAAGTTCAATTATAAAGTTTTTTACTGTCTGCATTAACCATTGATTGAACCTACAAGTTTTTTAGCTTAATACAGATTACAAGTCATCAAATCACTAGGTTTTCTGACTTGATGTTTTGATTCCCAATGAAATATGGTAAATGTATAGACGAGAAGACCATAAAAGGCTTTTATAATCCTGTTACCAGTTTAATTACCACTATTTGATTTGAATTGCTTGATTAAACATGCAGTGTTTACGTACATTATAGTACATGACAGTTGTCAGATTTCAGTCTATGAGGTAGAATTCATGTGGCTTGCCTGCCGAGGAACAGTTAACTAATTTATTCCAAGCCACTTTGTTTAGGATGGTAGAAATCTATGTATTTTTCAACCTGATTCTAGTTTTGGAGTTGAATTTTGGTGTGACAAGAGTGGAGGGTATGGATGTGAGTGCAATGACTTTTATGTATAAATTTTCGTGTGTCTCGATGCAGCTGTTGCACTTCTCCTTTTCCAAACTTAGCATATGCACTGGCAAAATTTGGCGAACGGTTTCTAGGTTTACAATTGTTTTGTAATTCTTTGTTTTTAAGAGCACATTTATGTGGGTTATTCCATTTGGAGTTGCTAGTGAAGCTGATGTTAATGTTTTTATTCCAAATGCCTAACAGCAAGTCGGAGGACGGACTCTGAAGGTGAACTTCTCAGAGGTGCCAAAAGGAGGTGAGAGGGAAGTAATGGGACCGAAGATACGGAGAGGTTACAGAAGCTTTGTAGACGGCCCTTACAAGATCTATGCAGGAAACCTCAATTGGATTGTCACCTCTGAAAGTCTCAGACATGCGTTGGCTAGCCAACTAGGCTTGTTGAGTGCTAAAGTCATCTATGAAAGGGACACAGGAAGATCTCTAGGTTTCGGATTCATCTCTTTTGAGTCTGCTGAGAGTGTTGTGGCTGCTCTAAATGCCATGAATGGAGTGGTAAGACTCAGTTAATGAATAATAATTCAGAATTGAAGTTTGTTTACCTTTTCAATTTCTGTTTTTATGTAATCATATGCTTGTAGGAGGTGGAAGGTCGACCTCTGCGATAAACATGGCTGCAGATAGAGCTCCCCCTACTTCTCCACCTGAAATGGAAAGAAACGCAGAACATAGTCTTGAAAGCAGTGAATTGCTTTCCAGTGTCACTGCTTGAAGTGGTTAAAATTAAATATGGTTTTAGACAGAGGATCAAGAAAATTGTGCGGAATATATTACCTTTTACTTCCAAATTATTATTCCACAATGGTCAGTTTTTTTCCCTCTTGCTCCATAACTGTTCTACAAATGTTACATGTAAATCGTAGAGCAAGGGGAGATGATTCTCTCAACTTCTGATTTTTGGAGTATATGTAATTCTAAACTGCTTGAATTATGCATATTATGGCAATTTCAAAAGCAAAATTTCCTGTAGGCTTCCATTCTCATTTGGGTAAATGGTTTAAGATGTTAATTCGAGGTAAAATTCACTTTGATTCTTCTTTTCAATTGGAACATGTTCAATATCATGGTGACAATAAATACTAGGGCTAAGTTAGCTAATTATGAACTGTGTCTTGATTGTTTGTACAATGATCAAAAATTTTATTGGCCTTTTTTCAATTGTCATTATTCATAATCTATAGTCCATAAATTCTGCAAGCTGTTGAAGCCGTGTAATCTAGCTTTTTCAAGCAGTTTGCAGGAGAGCTGGGCCATTCCTAAGGTTTGTTATGAACAGTTTACGCAGCCTGCTCTGCCCTGATTTTTGTAGAATTGAAACATGCAGAAGGAGAATATGATATGGCAAAGAAGTTTATAGACAATGAGAAAATAGAACTTCATGAGCATTTCCCTTTCCAAATTGAGTGATTACATAATCAATATAAAAGCAAAATACAAGACAAATATGCAGGTGACTTCAATGGATTCCATTCCAATGTCATTCCAATGTCTAATGCTCATTTTCATTTAAAAAACTCGACTTGTGGCTTCTCAATGTGAAGGAGCAACGAAGGATCTAAATAGCATAAACCTTTTTCATTCACTTTCATGCCGACCAGCAAGAAGAGCATCTGCTGCAGAATCCAAATCATGAGGGAAGAAAACCCTACATAACACAGGTGGCCTTATGAAGCAGAACAAATAAATCTCTAAAATAAAAAATAGTTTTAACTTTTTAGTAACCATGAAGGTAAGGATGATGAGGGCAAAAAACTGCTTGTTATCAACTCAGATTCTAACATAAGTTACCTAAAAGAAAAATTAATTAACTAATATGGTCAAATATTCAATCAATCTAACTTCTAAGCTGTTTGATCACTAAGTAACCACTTTATTTAGTGCCCAAATCACCGATTGTTAAATTTGAGAAATTCCTAAAATTGCAAACAGAATTACCTGCAGGTGTTCTGGTACAATGTCGCACTCAGCTGATCAATGTCACTGATTCCTTTACAGCCAGCTACCACCTCAAGAACTTGCCTGAAAGACCCCACCAACACCAAAAAAAGTAAGACAAAATGTGTTGAACAGAATAATATCTCCATTGATAAGGACCAAATGAACAAGTTAATATGGTGGACCATTTGCTATGTAGTATATACTGAAAGAATGCATTGATGTTAACGTATTTGCTATATTTGAGTCAGTTCCTAATTGTAGGATGACATGACACTTGTAATAGCTTGCAATATGTGAGGAATGAAATTTTCTATTTTCAAAACACTCTCCAGCATAATCTCTTTTTTATTAAAATTAAAGTACAAAATGATTTAAAAGCAGTTTCACTCACCGCACTAAACAAGGTTCATTACGTCCTTTAACAAGACTTTCTTGATCATACTTCTCTTTCTTCTTAGAAGGCCATAAGGATTTCACAAAATTAATCCCAGCATGAGTACTCTTGATTTCACAATATGGAGAATCAGTCTCAATCATCATTCTTTCAACAGGTATGCCCCTCACAACATCAAGATTTTCAGCCATCTTCAGTGAGCATCCATTTACACCTGTAAAAGAACCGGAGCCAAAAGACTCATTAGGTTTACCAGAAACCTTAGTAAGTCCATAACAATGAATGGCTTCAAACAAGTGCATTAGAAAAATCATTTCAATCAACTTGATTGACAGAGTGAAGAAATGTAAGTGCTCACTGCATGCATGGCAAGATGACATGTTAGGTGAAAACATGAAAGACGCTGCATATAAGTTGGATTCTCACCTACATACATGTTATGAAATGATAGAAGCTTATCACAGTCTTCAGCACTACCAGTAAATGAATGAGTAACCCCACCAATGAACCTATTAAATTGAAAAACGAAACAAAGACAGCAGACTTCAGCATTTACAAATCAACCAGTCAACCAATTAACTAATATCCTTTTCATAGATAAGAGCAAAGGTGGTTTATAGGGTTAGCAGAGACAAAATTGAAAAAGATATTCACTTGCGTAGAAAAGATCCAGAAATCTAACTTGTTAATATTTCGTTCCACAATTTCACAGAAATCTTCAGCAGCCGCACGCATATGCAGAAACATAGGCAGCTTTGTGGCATAAGCTAATTCAAACTGCTTCTCAAAATACCTAGTTTTAACAAGGATAAGTAACAAATATTTAATCATTAGAGCAGAAGAAAACAAGACAATAGATAATAAGACAAGAAGTAACACAATCCCAACAAATATTTCTCTTCGCAACCGCTTACTTCTTTTGAATTTCTGGTGGGCAAAAGTGAAGCCTGTCATAATCCAATCCACATTCACCAATTGCCACCACCTAGATTAAGGCAAAATTCATAGTATCTAAGTATACTAAGACCACAGTTAACAACCCCGATTAAAGAGTAAAATATGCAATAGGGACTGTTATTTGGTTACTAAATGTTTTTGGATCTATAAAAACAGATAACAAGAAAAAAACCTTCTTATTCTTGCAGTTGATAACTTTCAGTTGCATTATTATTAAAATTCATTTTTACCAACAGAAATACTATGTACATGCATGGGAAACTGTTAAATGTAAACGAAGTTATGTAGAAATTACATTGGAAAAAAAACAGAACGGAAGGGAAAACAGGGCACTAATAAGTTCTAAGATCTTCCACTTGTCTAAACAACATAAAATGCACAGAAAGCAAGTAAAAACTGAAATTCGAACATCTGAATGCATCAATTTCTGCTAATGTACATCATCTCACATCTACTGCTAGAATGAAAATACACCAATCTAAAATGTAACAGAATTTAAAGATTTAAGACCAACAAGCCAAACCCACCTTCCCTTTTTGAATTCCCTCTTTAGCCAATGCCAAAAGAGCTTGAAAATGTTTTTCAGGATCTCCACTCTCTTCAAACTCCTAAATAAACATAAAAGAAGCCAAGTTCACATACATCTGACAAAACCACACAGCTAAATATGTACTCAAAAAACAACAAAAAGGACCAAAGACAACAGTATTTCACGAAACAACACTAACCTTACATCTAGTTGGGTGCACACCAACCGTGCAGAAAAGCCTCCCTGTGATGAATAGCAAACTTTAGATGAATAACCAAAAGAGAGCATTCTAAAACAAAAGAAATGTCAAGGCAGATGTGGGAATAAGTAAAGCATGATGAATGTACCATCCGTTTCTGCAATAGCAAGAGCTTCCTTTGACTCCTCAAGGGAACCGCCCGTTACCTGTATTAACGAATCTATTACTTTGAATTATGCATTTACAACAATATCAAAACTAAAACACACTATGCTATGACATAGTTGAAAATTATTTCTAAAAGCTCCCAAAGTAAAGACATTCATCCAGGGTTTAAAAAAATAAAATAAGATTCAGTAATTCCATAAAGAAATAAAAACTTGAACTCAATTTATTCCAGTTCACGAGTTCACTAAACAAACTAAAGCTTCCCAATCCGATGAAACTGAACTATGAAAAAAAGTTAATAACCAAACAGAGTAAAACAAAAAGAGAATTTGAGAAATGGGATTAACTCACGATAATTCGATCAACACCAGCATTCCAAGCTCGACTCAAAACAGTGGCAATATCAGAAACGTGATGTTGCTTGCCATTATAAATGCCTTTAAACATGCCATCTGTGTAAAATAAAAATGATTATCCAAGTGGAGAAGAAGAAACCCAGATTGAGAAAGAAAAAAAAAAGATGAACTGAAGCCGAAGATTGCAATAGAGCATTATCCGTTTGATGAAATGTGTGAAAGAGTTACCTGTGAAGTTGACTGCGATATCTGTCTTTGGGAGACAGCAAAAATGAAAGGAAAGATTTGTTAAGGAAATGAAAGAATAAGTAAAGGAATTAATTCATGGAATCGAAAAGATCTACTTGCCTATCATCCGAATTGGCGCCATGGTAAAGAGAGAGAGCGAGAGATGGCCTTGGTTTTTTTTTTTTTTTGATGCCTACGCGTAATGGACGTAACGGCAAAGCACTAGGCTTTCTCCAGCTTTGGAATATTTCTTTTCGTCAGATGTCGAGCTAAGTTTAGCCCAAAATATTTGGCCACAAAAAAATGTAGCCCAAGAACAGGTGAGAAAAAGCAAAAAGCCGAAATGTTGAGAGTTGAATTTGAATCCACGCCCTTTTGGACCAGAACCTTAATCTGGCTCCTAAGACCAACACTTGATATCACAGTTCCAACAAGAATGAAAATGGCAAATGCCAGTCGCTGGTGATATTTACTTTGGAAATATTATTAAATTCCACATCCCCGACTTCACGCCAGAGTTTGTGTTATTCCATTGTTTTTTGTCAATAGTTTTTCCGTAAGTTCTGCTTAATACATAAAAAAATAAAGAAAATCTTAAAGCAATGCGGCTTAGTATTATAAGCATCTAAAAGCCGAAAAGAAAAACCACCATGATAATAAAAAGATTATAGTAGCATTAGTCAATTTTTTTTCCCTTGTGTTCTGTATTCTGATATCTTGTTTTGTCTATTTCTTATCTCCATATGTAGCTCCTGAAAGCCAGCTTTCTTGACAGTTTTGTTTTTCCTTAACAACTTTACTGTTCACATTTTCTAAATTGTGACAATAATGATAAAATTATTATTATAATAATGTAATAAATAAATAAAGAGATGGTTGATCATCATGTGCCAACCTGTTTTAAAAAGAAAATCTACCAGTCCTTTTCTGTCTACATTTATTTATTTATTTCCATTTCTTATTAACTTTTGCCAAGTGGTTAGTGGAGGGTCACCATTGTTGACTTTGATTCCAAATCCAAAGTACACACAAAAATGTATATTCAGGGAACAGGTGACCGGAATGTATATTACCCAAGAACTAAAATTTATTTATAAACTATAGAGTATAGAATAATAAGATGGTATATATCAAATGGAACATACTTTTATAAACAGTACCTGTAGCAACCGAGAAAACAGGAAAGAACTGAACCAATAATACTAGTTACAGGAAAGAATCAATGATCAAAATGGTGTCTCTCCAAGGAAGTCTATCTGAATTCTGAAAGGAAATTATGGCATTCCTTTAGCAATCCAGCCCCATCCAGTATCCCCAGCTTTCCATTAAATAACAAAAAGAAATGCAGTGGAAAGCTTCCAAGCCATTCAACCAAATGTCTCAGCCCATCAACATTTCATCTTGTAGATTCACTAAACCAATCCAAAGAAAAAGGAAAATGTAAAAACTCAGATCTCAAACAAGAATACTGCAAGGCTATCACTGTTCGATGCCTAAACACAGCAACATATGGTTAAGCGGTGGGTGGAGGTGGAGATGGGGTTACTGGCGTTTGAGATGGAGTGCTGTTGCCGCCACCACCACCATTGTTTTCCCATGGTCTCACAGTGAATAAAACTACAAACAAGATGATAACCAGCAAAAGTATGATAGCATAACAAGTCCATTTCCGGGTATTTTTCTGGTAATTCCTAGCTGTTTGCAACCGCTCAGTCCCACCTCTCACAAATGAATTAGCTCTGTTCACTTGGCTCTCAATATCATCCAATTGCTCACCTTGAGCTTCAACCAGCACTGCCATGTCCAAGAAAACTTGGTGCAACTCCTTGAGATTCTTCTCCAAATCCTTAACAGCATCATGCCTTTCTTGAATCTCATTGATTGTGTCCAAAATTCTTCCCCTCCCTTGTTCTTGAATGGCCTTTTGCAAAAAAGTCTCACTCTCGCCTGCAATATATTAACACAAGTTCTTAAAATTATACCTCAGTTTTAGTCCATAATAATAATGATAGTGATTCTAAAGAATTTATCAAAATCTTCATTTTTACAATGCTTTATAATTAAGATTTGCATGTTTCAATTTCTAATTAAACCAAAAGATAAGAATTTGAATTATACCTATCTATATGTGCACGTATTTTCAAGATTACACCCAAATTTTCTATATAACTATTTTACTAATAATCACTTATAGTAACCCTCTAATCATCCCAATTCACTAAAAACATCTCAATTAACTTTTTTTTTCTTTTCATCAAATGAAATCATCCTTGAATACCGAACTTTTCAGGAAAAATTTCTAGCGGCTAGCAGTTAAAACTTCGAACTTTCCATCCGAGTCTTAAAGTTGGAATCTTAAAAGGAACCTAATGAACTTTATGGAATGGAAACAAAAATAAAATCTTTCTTTTTTTTTTTTTTGTTAATAGACTTAGATTAAAAACAAGCTTTCTAAAGTACCAAAAATTCCGAAAAGAAAAAGAAAAGTGATTAAACTAACCTGTTGAAATCAAAAGATCAAGAGTCCTGTCATCTGGGTTTTCTCCGGTAACCGTGAAATACCTTCTCTGAACAGTTTCTCTATACTCAGACGAGATCTTTTCTCTCAACCCATTAAAACTCTCCATAGAATCCTTCAACTTCTTTCTCAGTCCGTTCACAACCGAAGTCCTCGTCCTGTCTGAAGAAGACCCTGGTCCGCACCCAGGCAAGCTCCTGTTTGCCGCGTTGGACCGATCAAGTGCTTCCAGCCTAACTTTAATAAGCTTGGCCTTTTTCAAAGCCATGGCTACGTCAGCATCCATCTTTGCTCGCAATTCTTTCACGGCTTTCGCGTTGTGTAACGTCTTGCTTTGCTCGTGAGATGACGACAGGCTGTCGTTCAGCCTCTCGAGTTCTTTGAGCTCGTCTTTGATGGACTCGACATCTTCGAAGAACTTGTCGAGGTTGACACCGCCGGAGGTGGAGGATCGAGTCATCTGGATTACGTGGTGATCAGGGGAAGCTTCTTCGCTGCGGAAGCGAGAGAAAGAGCCTGAAAACAGATCATTCATTTTTGGGTTTCTTACCAAAAACTCTTCAGGGCTTTAAAAAACTTGGTTGGACCAGACGGAAATGGTATTAATACGCGTGAAGGTGTTTGGCGTATTAATTCATAAAAACCAATTTCTCGATCAGAAAGAAATAATTTTTAGCAGATTTTGAGAAAAGGGTATAGGAGATTGAAGGAAGAAATGGAAAGAAATGGTGGAAAAGAGAGTTTTTTGAGGTGGGTTTGGAAGGACGGTAGGAGGGATTTTGGTAAAGAAGGTCTCAAGTTTCAACTAAGAGGGATAGAAGAAAAAGTCAAATGGGGGAAACAGAACATTAAAATCGACATGCAATTGCTAATGTAATTGTTTATTGCTTTTTAACAGGAAATAAGTACAGAATTGAAAAGAGAAAGAGGAAACATCTTGGAAGGTGGAACAAAAGAACGAGTCATTACTCAGGAACCGTGTAATTGTTTGAGCAAATTGGAATGTTCTAAACGCGTGGGGGGAAATTTTGGATAATTGATTGATCCTAGTTATTGTATTTGATTTGATGTCTCTTTGTTTTTGGAACGACTTGGTGGGGGAGATTAATCAAGAAATTGAAAACTAGTTTAACAAAGAGTATAAGACTCGGTCGTCTTGATTTGGGTTATCTTTCTCAATCTCTCTCAATTCAGTCGTTTCTGTCACTTATAGATTTGGGTGAATTTACGAACTTTCTTTGGTGACTGATTGTGGATTCATCACTTTTTCTGTTTGCTATTGCTCATCTTTTTAAAGAGAAAGTGTCATTTGTTTTGTTTATTTGTGGTCAATTGTATTAAGCAGTTAGATGATGGGAAACATCAACACTCGGCCAAACTTTAGAAACAAAGCAACGATTTGTGTGTTTAATTGAGATTTGAGAGTCATGAAATCAAGGTTTCCATAGTTAATAGTATAAACTTTTGACAAGGATTTTGACAACGAATTTTCATTTTTATGTTTTTTTACATAAGTAGATTTATTAGATTTTATGTATATATTGTAAGATTATTATTTTTTTATCTTATAAAATTTACATATATAATGATTTTAAATTCAAAATTTTGAAATCAAATGAGATTCACATAGGTGAATTTGGTAAAATATATATATATATATATAAAAAGTGGATTCGTATTTTTTTATTTCCTTTAAATTTAAAATTTTTTAAAAATGAAATTAAATTAATATATTTCTTTGTCTTTATTTTTTATCTTTAGTGTTAAAAACAATAAAGAAATTTTTTTTTTCTTTCCTCACCTGTTTTTCCTTTCTTCCATTTCCTTCCTATCAACTATAATGTCAATGTCCAAAGAAATTAGTGTTTATGGAGCCTAATCGCTAAGCGTACATATTTTCGACATCCATCAGGTGTGTTAATCAGAAAGTGACGCATGCCAAGTTGCCGTCGTTTTAAAATTCAAGATTTCAAATGGAAGAGTATTATTTAAGACATATATCCACAAGGCGTTTATAGAGATAAAAGACACGTAATTGCTAAGGCAAAGATAGAAGCTTGTCCTCCCCCCCACTCCTTACCCTGCGCTCATTACTCCCTTCAATTATTTGGTTCTGCCTGGGTACGTTCAATCACTCCATTCACTTCCTTGATTTGATTTTAGCTATAGGTAACCAGTAAGCCTTGCATTTATTTCTTTAAGCTATAAAAATGTAAAATTCTTATAGGTAAAGAACGTAAACGAATTTTTGACATGTAACGTAAAACCAAGCATGTAATGTAAAAAATTCACGCGTCTTCATTTTAGAAATGTAATCTAAAACAGATCAAAGAAAGTAATATTCTTCCACCCAAAACCAAGCAGAGCCAAATATTACGAAATGTAATCCCTCGAGTATATTTAAGAGACCAGGGAAACAGATGGATTGCATCCTTAAGTTGAATGACGGAAGGAACTGTAACTATAATTAACATAGTACTTGAGTTTCTCATTTCAAAAATTCTTAGTCCATTTACATGTAGAAGTAATAATAAAATAAATCCTTTTTTTTTTGTTTCCTTAATTTGAAAACCAAAAAGAATGTTTCATCTCCTACATTCACTGTGCTTTTCTCAATTCCTATTATACCAAGAATTATGCGATAATTTACATGTGAAAGTTACAATAATTACTACAACCAAGATCACATCCCTAACGGAACAGAAAACATGTGAACATGAGCCAACATTTCAAGTAGATTGGAGTACAGTAAGATAATAGGGATATCCTTGGCACACTCCCGAAGCCTTGTTCGCTTCTCCTTGATTTTCTTCATCACTGATGGGTATAAGATTCCAATTCAAAACATAGTTTGACAAATCATATATTCCTGGAGCAAAAACACAAATCTGAAGAGGAATTTCAGCTGTCGACCTAGGTTGAAGTATGAGATTAGTTGAGCTTGACCCGGACCATATGAACTGGGAGACACTTTCCAGGAATGCCGACTTCGTAGAACATGTTGCAAGAGCATCAGTTGTGATGATTTTCATATCATTCACAACTGGAACATCACACCACCCTGCTTGGTTTTCCGGAGGGAGACCTGACTGAGATGCAGCAGCATCAATCGGTTGATTGCTACTACTGGGGGAATCAAACGTCTTGATATGGACAGATGCAACAGCATCAGATGAGTTGTTTATAGTCATCTTCAAATTTACTTCACATAAAGAAGCCCAGAAGTTATGTTGTATGGTCCGAGGCCCATCTACTAACCATGATATTGGACTCATGCTAGAAAGACTAAAAGAGAAAAAAAAAAAAAGGACACCAAAACAAAGAGAGTGATCAGTATAAGTGGTATCTACTAATTCATCATTAAAGTTATTGATGTTGCCTGAGTCTTACCTGCAATTAAAAGCATGATGGGAAAAGAGAAGTGGTCGATTAGGAGCAACAGAATCAATATTACCCTTCAGCAGTTGAGCGAAGAAAACAAAATCAACTTTGTAGTCATACCCCTAATCCATGAAAAATATAAAAGCTGAGAGCATCAGGAGGCAAGTAAAAGATCCAAAGAATCAACAAATAACCACTCCAATCTAGTTATCCAAAAAAGGCAACAGCATCATCATCGATATTGTAAGCTTGAAGAGTCAAGAATGAAATGGTGATATAGGTAAGAGACAACATAACCTGAGTCAAATTACGACTGTAATGGTAGTGATGATGTAAAATAATCAACATAAGGATAGACATTCCAATCGATTGTTATATGAACGGCACAAGAAGAGCAAAAAGGTTAACAACCTGACGTGACATTCCCTGGTATGATCTTTCACAATGGTTGAAATAAGCAAAAGGTGAACTAGATACATCAAAGAGGGCTTCACTGTTACCCTGAGGGCCCAATCTTACATCACTTTGACGAAGGGAAAGAGGAGGAATATTGTTTTCAGAAGTTGACGACTTCCTGCAATCCTGAAATGAAAATTGAAGTAGATTATAGTTTTAAGTCAACTAGTGAAGATGAAAGAAACAAATATTATTTGGCAAGAAGAATTCATGATGACAAACAAACCTTTAACAAGCTAATATGTGGCCAATAGCATACTTACTAACACTAAAAGGTGATGAGGTTGATAGACTAATAAAAGGTAGAATTGCAACTTATGCACAATCTACAAGGTTCCAGTCGGGATCACAACCAAGCCACAGATTTAACCCTAACCTGATATTTTTACTGTACATTAGATTTTTTATCAATGGGCATTGAAGTCAGCTCAGGTTCAAAGGTACAACATCACAATTTAAAGTAATTATTGTGTCCCATAGAACCAACAAGAAGGCATTTGATCAAACACCCTCCCACCCCCTAGCCAAAGCCCATCAAAAGAAAAAGACAAAAGTCACTTGATATTAGCTAGCACAAGTAATTTATCCCAGTAGTAATATAACTTTGATTATCAAATAGAAAGAAGGCACAAAATAGTTATTCTTCCATTTGAAAAGAACAAGATAGTTTACCAGACGAATAATCCAAGGTGCAATTCTTATAACGGTCTTACCAACCTTAAGCATGAAGAAGCATGACAGTGCTTGACCAGCATATAAAGATTGAGACAGTAAGATGCTATCAATAGGTTGAAGCATTGAGATTTTCCACTGCTGCCCAACAGATGACAACTGATGAAACTGGAAACATTCAGAACTGGTCTTGTTGACAACATCCATGCGCAAGAGGAACTCTTGCAATCTTGACGGGCAAGGACTAAGTTCAAATGATACATCCAACGATGGTAAAACCTAATAAAGATGAAGAGCATATATTAGAATTGGCTAGGTAGCCAATTGATACATATAGAGGCAAAAAAAAAAATATGATCAACAAAGTATCACCCCATGACCATTTGAAATAACAATTGTTCTTTAATAAACATTTAAAAGGGGAAAAAAAAAATCCACCTAGAAACAACCTAAGTAAACTGACACTTGGATAACATAAAATGGAAGAATTGCTTCAAACTTAACTGGTAAATATAAATACTTTTCTGAGGAAATTTTGCCTGACTACCATCAGCTGACATATATTAGTATTTTAATATTACGGTATTTTAAAGGATGTTTTCTAGTAACTTGCCGCAACATATTGCTCCCCCAACTGTTTTCTTTTTTCATCTTTGCTTTTTTTTATGACCTATATTTTTTGTGCTCTACCATAAAAAGATTAAAATGTTGTTGATTGTACCTTTTTCCCCTTGTCACTTTACAAATCAATTTCACAAAACAAAGCTAATAAACAATCATTAAGAAACAATACATATTTTAAGCTACCAATGGTGTATATATATATATATATATATATATATATATATATATATATATAAAGCAAGGGCAAAGAATCAAAATATGGACCCTCAACATTTTCTTATTCAAGAACATACCTCCAAATTATAATGCATGCGTAGAGTGCGATATTTCATGATGCTTGATACATCTTCCATTTCGTAATATATTGTGATGTACAAAGAAATATTTCCAGGAACAGCAGCATGAAACCAAAGAGGCCAAGATAATGAAGTTTCCTCCTGCACTGATATGTCCTGAAGCATAGACCGATGTAAAGTTTATGAATGAAAAAGGATGAGGTGCTACCAACTTGCTATAAATTGTCAATAAAGCATTCACAGGGAAACCTTCCAAACTAACCTCAGGAAAGTGAAATACATTCTGCAGCATTTTATTAATATTAGCATGTGCGCCACTTTGCTCAACATTCATTTTCTTTTGTATGCAAGCAGGAAATTCTACATTAAACTCCTGCTGATTCCCAGCATTTAGAAATCTAGGATTGCTGATCTTCATCTTTAGATTCTGTCAAAACATTGTCATAACCCGCATTATAGAAACAATAACTCTTTATCAATATATTATATTAAGAGACAGCACAAGCATGAATGTACATCATATATGAGGGAAAACCATAGTAATTAATCCCTGCCAAGCTCAGGTTTCACTTGAGGCTGGACCAACAAAAGGCCCAACCAATCTGACTAGGCCCACATGTTTTTGACAAAAAGAGGTAAAGACCTGAAAGTCAAACCATTTTTCATCTATGTGTAAAATTATTTATAAAGTTGTAAGCAACATAGATTATAGATTATTAGGGATTGTTACCAAGCAAAAGCATTTGATGGTATAACATAGTAGATAACCACATAATATAACTCTGTGTTCAACTATTGACCATGGTCAGACCAATGATCCACCTTCATCAACTTCATATCTGGGCTGGCTTTAGTTACACAAGGAAAATAAAACCCATACCAAATACAAGATCAAGATGCAAATTGAATGTTCAAAAATGAGAAAAAGTTGGTTTACACTAACTCAGTCAGCAGATATATGGTAAAGATTATAACACTAAAATGGGTAAAGAAAACCATACCTTGACAGGAAATTTTGATTGGTTACTTAATTCCAACACAAG